GGATTCCCGGGGCCTTCCCGGCTAAACTCTTCCCTCTGCCAACGCAGGTCACCCTTATGGGGATAATTCGGCACGCCGAGAAAGCACCGACCAACATTCTCTACAAAGTGGATGACATGACGGCGGCCCCGATGGACGTCAGGCAGTGGGTCGATACTGATGTAAGCAGCAGGTTCCTTGTGAGCTTTTGGGAGAGGTGAAAAGAGAAAACTTACCACAGAAGTGTGGCTGTTCTGAAAAGTGCTTTAGGAATAACGTGCCTCTGAAAGCCCAGGGAGATGCTGCTGTAGCAGAGATCACTGGTGCTGTATGTGGCTCTTCTCCTGTTCTATAATTCGTACATGGTTCTACACTGAATTACTTTGAATCGTTGTTCCAAGTTCACCTGCTGAAGCTCAGTGGTTATTCCATAGCTGAACTGAGAGGTGTGTGCTCAGGAGCTTTGTGTAGAAATACAACGAGAGGGGCTGAACAGGGATTTTTCTGTGTGACTTGGTGACTGAGGCGGAGATGTGTACTGATGAATATTGGCTTGTTTTCTGAGGCATCCTTCCTGAAGTGCTGATAACTGTCACTGCTGGTATAGCAGGCCTTTAAAGCTGGCCCGTGTTATTGTAACATATTTGAAGGCAAACAGCTGAGTTGAACAGCTTTGGGAGAGTAATTAGGCAAACATTCAGTTGGCTTAACTGCAAGCTTAGCATAACTTCAGAAAAGGTTCTGGCCTGCTTCCATTCCCCTGACCAAGCTGCATGGTTGGACACCTGCTTTTTTACTATTTGAGCTTTTTTTCATCTTGTTGCTCTGTGAAAATCCCTCAGAAGTGGACAGAGACAGCAGAACAGACAGCTGCCTTTGCTGTCAAGTGTACACTGCGTTCAAACAAGCAAATACTTTTTTCTCTATTTTTAGTATAGAGTTATGTTTACCTAACTAAAGCTCCTGGAGAGTGTCCAGAGGAGGGACACAACATTGGGGAAGGGTTTAGAGGAGAAGGGTGTGAGAGGCTGAAGTCACTTGGTTTGTTCAGCCTGGAGAAGAGGAGACTGAGAGGAGATCTCATCATGGTCTAGAACTTCCTGCCAAGGGGCAGAGGAGGGGCAGGCGCTGATCTCTTCTCTCTGGCCACCAACGAATGCCAGGAGCAGAGGGAATGGCAGGAAGATGTGGCAGGGGAGGGTGAGGTTGGCCATGAGGAGACGGTTCTTGAGGCAGAGGGTGGTGGAGCACTGGAGCAGGCTCCCCAGGGAGGTGCTGATGGCACCAAGCCTGACAAGATTGCAGCAGCATTTGGCCAAGGCCCTCAGGGACATGGTGTGAATGTTGGGCTTGTCCTGTGCAGGGACAGGAGTTGGACTCCATCATCCTGGTGGGTCCTTCCAACTCACAACATCCTGTGATCCTATAACTACTCTTAGCAGACATAGGGATGCATGCCATTTGTGTTTGCTTGACATGAACATCCTTTCCTAAGTCATTTATTGTGATGATTGAGAAATGGAAAATGTGAATCAGCACACCCTTCCTTTCTCCTTTTCCTCTCTGTTAGGAGGCAGGTGGTGAGAATGTTGTGGTACCTCCAGGAACTTACATAAAAGTAGCTGGTCATCTTCGGTCTTTCCAGGTAAGATCCTGTTACCTGTGTCTGCTGCCAGGTCAGGAGGCTGGAGCAGTGGCGTGAAGGGTTTGTGATCTGGACAGTGTTAGTGGGCTCCCTTTAAAATATCCACTTATTGTAATCTGTGCTCATCCTTTCCCATGGATAAATCCTTGAATGTTTTTGCCAGGGCTGTATTTAATAACACAGTTGTTCCTAAATGGCAATGACAGAGGACCCATTTAACCTCTCACTCCCCATCAGTGCATTGTTTACAGTGGAACAGAGTAGTGGCCACCAGGTTTTTGGGTATTTGTAGTGTAACACTTAGACCAGGTTCTGGTTAATGAGGACTCTTCTCACGTGATCTGGTTGCCTCATAATGAAATATTGTAACTATTCAAATAATGGTGCTTGTGTTAAAGTGAAGTGCAACTAATTACCAGCTGATTAGGAAGAGATTGTTTTGCAAAATCACATGGGAAGACATAAGTCATAAAATTTTGAACTAGTTACATGCAGGCAAGCTCCCTACCCACCACAGACCCTGTTCCTGGAGAGAATGGTGGGATTGGCTGTTAAAACATGTTCCTGTTGCTGGGATGTGTATTTATTTATTTATTTATCTATCTATTTATTTATTTTTCTCTGAAAGAATAAGAAAAGCTTGGTGGCGTTTAAGATTATGCCTGTGGAAAATATGAATGAGTTCACCACACACATACTAGAGATTGTCAATGCACACATGATCCTCCGAAAAAATCTTATGGTACGTACTTGAAGATCCTGATTCCATCTTGGCCCTTACTGGGTTACTGGTTATCTCCCAGAGAGAGGGACTTCTTGGTTTGTTGTGGAAATTGTACACAAGTTGTGGGGCTGGAAAGGTTGAAGCTGTTGGAGGGCTGCAGTGAAGGTGTACCGGGAGTCCTGGCTTCCTTGGAGACTGATTGTGTTGCAGTTCATTTCCAGTGGTCTCTTTTGGGAACCTCTTTTCACTTGCTGTTTCTCTGAAATAACACTGAATTGTAACGCTGTGGGCTTGTGGCAGCCGTGTAACCACAGCGGTTTTACTCTCATAATTGCAGTCAGCATCAAGAGCGCCTCAGTCGTTTTCCTCTGCTGGGATCAGTGACATGGGGGGCTATGGAGGAGGTGGCAGCTTACCCGTGAACGGACTCACAGCACACCAGAGTCAGGTAGGTGCAGGAGGCTTCTCCAGGAGTGCAGCAGTCGCAGCAGAGGCTGCTGCGGTGTGATGCAGGACAAAGAAGTGCAGCTCAGTTACTTCGAAGATGGATAGTTCTTCCTCAGCTTTGCTGTCCATTGATGATGGAGAAGCTTAGCTGTGTGCTCAGTGGTGCTTCTTGCTTTTCCAGGTACTGAACTTGATTAAAAACTGCCCTGTCCCAGAAGGTATGAGTCTTCAAGAGTTGAAACTTCAGCTCCACAATATGAGCATGTCAACGATCAAGTAAGTGTGTAGAAACCAAGGATGTACTGAAAATCCAGGCAGTCCTTCCTGATGAAAAGGAGGTGGAGGAAAATAGTGGGCAAGGCCAGATCCTTACTGGTGAAACAGCACTAGTACTTTCACATATTCCCCGTAGGATGCAGTAGTGAGCCAGAGCTGCTGAAGACTTCAACAGTTTAACGTGAGCCATTGTCAGTTGAAGGGGTGATAAAATGCTTTGCTCCCTGTTTTCAAAACAAGCTGTTTAACAGTTCAGTAGCAGAGCCTGGGAGCACTGCAGTGGTGCCTCAGCAGTATTTTCTCCCTTTCAAGGACTACCTTGCTCTCTGAAAACTTGGGAATAAACTGTCTCTGTTCTTTTCTCCTTTGCTGTCTCTTATAACTTCTCCTCTGTGAGACTTAGAAAAACAGTGAAGCCTAAAGACAGTAATTAAGGTCCATTATCAGTGTTCTGCCTTTGAAGCAGAGTGTGGGTACTGCTGTTACCAGGGATGTACTGAGGGTGGTGGCCTTCCTCTCTGTGGCAGGTGGAGTCCAAGAGCTGCTGGGGCAGCACATGGCCATGGCTTTGGAGAAACTCTGTACCAAGTGACTGGTGGAGCAGCATTCAACCTGCTCACGGGGCAGAGCCACTGAGAGCTTCCCTTGGCAGATGCCAGAATGGAACAGTGGGGATGGGGTCTGAAAATGGGAAATCACTGAGAGAAAGGCGTTGGTATGAGCTAGTTAGCAATTGTTTGGTTGTTTTTTTTCCTTTGAAGGCAAGCCGTTGAATTCCTTAGCAGCGAGGGACACATCTACTCCACTGTGGATGATGATCACTATAAGTCAACGGATGCTGAGTGAAGTTACTTCCAGCTGGATTTAGTTCTAAGCAAATGCTTGTCTGTGTATCAAGTTATCCTGCCGAGCTTTGCGACATGGAAGGTGATCTTTGCTCTTTCCAGCCTGTGAAAGTCCCAGTTCCTCTGTGGGTGCCTCCTTGGAATTCAAGGACAAGCAGAATGTGTAGGATTCTGTTAACTGGACTCGATTATATGCTGTGACCATGTGACTAAAAGCATAAACAGACATGGAAAAACTGAACTCCTCAAAGCTTCAGAGCCTTCAGTTTGGTTTTGTCTCCTTAGAAGATGCTTGTGTTAAAGAAGAACCTCTTTATAATCTTGTCCTGGGCAGATGGTCTTTTTTTTTTCTAGAGCTGTTTCTCCTCTCAGCTTTCATTCCATTTCATTCACAAAGTGGGTAGCCAAGAGTAATATTCCACTAATGTACAGTAATCATGAATAGATTAATTGGTTTAGTTTATGCATTTAAATCTATATTTGTACTATGAGATAATCTTGTGACTAGAGCTTTTGAATGTTTCTAATAAAATTTTAACTTGGGCCATCTTGCCTGCGTGTGTGGCTCTAAAGGCTTTTCTTCTTCCCTAAAGAAGAAAACCAGCTGCATTGCAAAACTTAGCCATGTGGGTAAAAACACAGCCCGTGCTTTCAGAGTTTCTTTAACTACAGTTATTTTTTTCCTTAGCTTTTTGAAGTAAATTGCTCTAAAATGTCAAACTGAAGTGAATGTCTGGACACTTAAGAAATTAAATAATTGTATTGTTCAAGTAAGCTACACGTTGTCTCAGTGTTCCAAATATAGCCAGGATAATTTCTGCCACCAAAAGTACGTTAGCTGAAGCTCAAATGAATCACATCATATAGTACAAGTTTTTCTTCTTTAAGCTATTTTTAAAGCATAACAAAAAAACTCACTAAGTTAGGGAACAGCAGGGTTGGTGCTGGTGATGCATCGGGTTTGGATCTCCTGTTTTTCTGCACAACCCTGCCTTGTTTAGGGAGACAGCATGGTGTGGGCAGCTGCTTCAGCCTCTTTCTATCCTCTTAGTTGTGACAAGCTTCCTGTTACATGAAATGCAAAGCTGAAACCTACCTGCTGGGAATTGTTCTGTGTTTGTTAATGGCAGCATTTCAGGAGCTGATAAATATTCAGGAGCATTTGTCACTATACCCCCGTATAGCGCATAGCTGTCCTCACACGAGGAACCGTGGCTTTTGTGGTGAATGCCTTGCTGAAAAGCAGGACCTGGGATCATTCACGCTGAGACACTGACATGTGCTTGCTGCCTGCCGGCTGCAAGCCTGGTTTGCTGCTCTGTGCTGACCTGTGCTTCAATCGCTTCCAGGAGCCTGCTGGAAAAACAGCCCATGCAACCAGGCTGACACTGGTGGGCTCATGGGGCTGGTTGACTCCTATGAATCTCGATCACATCAAAATTTAAGATATAGAAAGGAGCACAAATTATGTCATTAGTTAAAAATTGGAACCTAGAATTCAAAGCACTCTCATGACAAATACAATATCATAAAGCTGCTCTCACTTCTTCATGCCTCCCACACATATAGATGAGGAAGCTCTGGTTGGCTAGCTAACAACACCAGAATAAAGTTTGGAATTACCTGTAACAGAGGCGGGTGATTTCCCATCTCATTCCAGAGGATTTTGTTTTTAGGAAAACTTTAATTCAGGCAAAGAGCGAGTTAAGGCTATCACATAGCTTCTTACAAAGCATACCAAATGTGTACAAAGCAACCCAAAAAATGCAGGAGGAAAAAGATGTGGAGCTGTAAGTCATGGGGTTTATGTCACCTGGGACTGGTGAAGTGACCTGGCTTTGAAAAAGCAGTTCGTCCCCGTACACACACCTGTGGGGCTGGCTGCCGGGCCCAGGGCATCTGCTTCTGGTGTTAATGCAAAACCCACGTGTGCTGCTCCGGTTCAGCGGCACAGCTGGAGCCCATGGTGCTCTTCTGGGGCTGAATTGTGCTATAGATGTGCAAGAGGTGAACTCCCAGTTACGGAATCCAGCAGATCTAGAAGGCAAAGGTACAGTTGTTTCCCTTTTGCAGGAGGTGTGCAGGTTAGGAAAAATATCCCTGATGATTTTGGAAGTGAAGATGAATGGAGTAAATGCTTACAGTAAAGAGAGTGGTTGTGCAACTGGATAAAACACTTGTGCCTGGAGAGGAAAAACTCATCGGCTGGGGAGGAAGTTTCAGTCTTTGGTCTCCATTTGCTGTTAGATCTTCAAAGCATCCAGGAGCATCTGCTGTTGTCTGGCTAGCTGGACCATTTGGAATAGGTCTTAGGGGACAGAATCGTTGCCTGCTTCACAAAACGTTTGCATTTAAAACTACCTGTGAACAGTGAAGTCTAAACTCAGACTGCTCAGATAAAGGAGACAAGGAAGAACACTTGGGCATTTTCAGTTGTTCTGGTTTCCTCTGTGCTCTGCTTCCTTCCTCCTCCCTGGAACCCATCTTCTCCCCAGCCATAGTCCAGCAATTAATTTTTCCTGCAAGAGAAGGAAAAACTGGATTCTGGGGTAACTTAAACACCTGTTGGTCCCTGCCTCTGAGGTGAGTCTCTTGGTTGCTTGAAGCTTTGTACTTTGTATGAAGTCATGAAGAAAGGCTGAAAGAGTTGGGGTCGTTCAGCCTGGAGAAGGGAGACCTTATTGCAGCCTTTCAATACTTAAAGAGGGCCTACATGGAAGACAGAGAGGGACCGTTTACCAGGGCCTGAAGTGACAGGACAAGGTGCAATGGTTTTTAAACTGAAAGGGTAGGCTTAGGTTGGACATAAAGAAGAAATTTATTGTGATGAGGGTGGTGGGACACCGGCACAGGTTGCCCAGAGAAGTTGTAGATGCCCCATTCCTGGAAGTGTTCAAGGTCAGGTTGGATGGGGGCTTTGAGCAACATGGTCTAGTGGAAGGAGGTTGACCAGCTGATCTTTGAAGGTCTCTTCTAACCCCAACCATCCTGTGATTCTCTGAACCTGTGGTTTAGGTGCTGTTAATGAATGGCTAGCACCTGTTTGCAAGCTGGGTTCTCCCTCCTTGGGTGAGTATTCAGTGAAAGGACCTCAACAGCAGCAGTTGGTGTCTGTCCCACAATGCTGATTTGAGGGGAGAGTGCTGATAGTGAGTGTAAATCCCAAGAACCAGGGCCAGAGATGGAAACCAGCCCAAGCACAAGCTTGGACTTGAGCCAGGCTCGAATGAATGAGATCCTGTCTGCAGCTCCAGGACTCTGCCCTAGGCACTGAGTGAGGAATGACATGGACTGAAAAACTGAACCCAGAGCTACTATTCACTGGGAGAGGAAAAAAAAACCCAACAATTTGATATAAAATGAAATTTAAAATTTGTTTTCCAGCTCTGATTTGAAAGGAGTGCAGTGCATGATGCAGGAGTGAAACACCTGCTTGCTTTCAGCGTAAAGCTCTCCCCTCGTCAGCTCTTCTCCCTTAGTGCACATCAGGACTGTGAGCTCTTTGTCTCTGCCACTTTCCCAGGGCTTTGCCAAACTTCCAGAAAAGGAGAGTTGAACTTTGGTCCTTATTTGGTTTTCAGGGTTTTTTTGCATCCAATGCCATGAGTGCACCAGGGGCCTCTGTATGTGCCAAGAATCTGCGAGTGCCACAATCATGCTTGCAAGCACCAGGGGACTGCAGAGGTCTAGGACACACAGTGCTTCCAGTTGCAAGCGCAGCTAAAGATGACAAAGCCAGCAAAACATAAAGCCACAACGTTTTTACAATGTTTCTACAACCCTGGTGAGAAATTAGTCCAGAGTGAGAAGGAAGTTTGGTTGTACTTCAGAAAAATGCAGCTTCTGCCTTATGAAAGTGGGTTTCTCACATCCAATTGTAAAAATGTGTCACTCAGAGGTGTGAGCCGCAGCTGGGCCCTTGCTTGCGCTGTGTGAAGTACCTTGTCACACCTCCTCCTAACCCCATCCCACCCCACGTGCCAAAGTGTCTGGACATGCTGGCCCCAAAGCATCTCCTGGATGCCATGGTAACGCAGTGGAGCAGAGTGAGCTCCATGTCCCAGGGCCTGGGCTGGCATCTCAGTGGCATCTTGGTGTGTGCTGGTCTGGTGCTGTCAGAGTCCCATGGGTGACAGCTGAGGACACAGCCCACAGCACTACAGGGAGATTTATTCTGTGCCTGGGGCTGTCTTGACAGTGTGTGGGCTGCTTGCCTCTGATGAAAGTGGGCACCTTTCTGAAGGATGGAGGCAGTTGGCAGTTGCGCTGTGGATCCCTAGGGCTGTATTTAGCCTCTGCACGTAACCAGTGTCATGTAAGGTCTCGGTATTTGGAGGATGGGTGGCTTCCAGAAACTTGAGGAGTAGAAAGGAAAAAATTGCCTGCGTTTTGTGAATTGTCTTTTGCATGTTGTGACCAACAGTTCTGTAATTGTATCCAGCGCTGTTGTTCTCTGTGCCTGGAAGGGAAGAGAGAGCACGGCCTGCAGACACGCACTGCATGGACTGCGGCAGGGGACACCCCGACCTGCCCTCCCCACCTCCCCGCTCTGAGCTGAGCCCAGACACGGTGGGGACTGAGGATGTGGGGACAGAAGGGGCCTCTTGCAGT